TAATTTATATCATAGTCATTAATATTAAATTTTCGAACTCACCCCCCTATACTTACTCAAAAATAAAATAGAAGACCAGGTAGTAGGGTAGGAGGACAAAATTGGATTCCCGGAAATATTAGTTTTCAGACTAATAATTCAGGGTGGTGTTATTGCCACAGCTTCACAGGCTAACACCACAACTTTTTTAATTAATTGACCATTAACCCACGCGGAGAAGGTGGTGGCCGCTGCAAGTTGGATTCGAATGAGGGGTATAATAGTCAAATACTTAAAAAAGCTGTGGTATTAACAGTAGTGGCTGTGGCAATAACACCACCCAATAATCCACAAATCTTATTTCGCGGAATATGTCCTCTTGCGTCAATGGTCAAATACCAAATCTGATGGGACCCTTTTACTTTTATTAGGTAAAAATCTTTTTTAAACCCTTAAATTTATCTCAAAATAATATTTAATTTTTCAAACAAAAAATGAAATAAGTAAATTCTTTAACTCTACTAATGATATAAGTAAGTCATTTTCACAAATTGATCAAATGATATTTCTTATTTAATATCACCTTAAAAGTATAAACACCTTACACTTATGAATGAAAATGACTTATTTACATTGTTAATAAAGTTGAAGGGTTTTTACTTTATTTTTAATTTAAGAATTTAAATACTATTTTGGGATAGGCTTAACTGCTTAAGAAGGATTTTTGCCCTTTTCTTACTCCTACTGTACTTCTTTAATCTTTCTTTGTCTATAATGATAACAATATTTACTGTACATTTTAAAAGTTTTTAATACCACCAGTTGCAATAAAAAATTACAAATGAAATCTCAATTTAAATTCGTGGATTAGATCCCCCGCTAATCAAGGACAACCTACAAGTGGCCCAAGTCCCCTCAATTCCTTTCGGGTTGAATCGAACTTTACTCTTTGAAAAGTCTTCGTGTGGAAGTGGTTATCTATATTTTATAAAAGATAATCTCATTTTAGTAGATGTGTAGGGTTTAAGTTTTGTATTTGTGTTTATATAAAAAAAAAATATATCTAACTTTACTCTTTTAATTTTAGGGTTTAAAACAGTTTTTTTTTTTTTTTGTATTTATGATTTTGATGATTATAAAATATATTTTAATAACTAATTTATTCATTTAAATGTGTAGTTGAACTTTTAAAACATTATAAAATTAAGTGAAATTATTCTGTACTAAAAAGGACCAAAACAAGCTGAAAAGGTGTAGAACGCCAGCTTAAAGAAATCTGCAATTGGCTCTGGAAGGTAAAAGTGTAGAGAGTCGACTCTAAAATCTACCGCCGGCTCTACAGGATAAAAATTTAAGTGCATAGTTTGACGCGTGCTAAAAATGAATACAAAACCAATTTTAACTTTGCAGCTAGTTATGTGGCGCATTTAATGTACAATGATCGAGTTATTTAAATATTATTTAATGTTTTTAAAGTTAGAATCCCAAAGTTGTCTTTATATTCTGCAGCCG